CACTCTTTTTTTTTTCTTGACAGTTGTAGGTTTATGAATTGTTTTCGGTTTTTGGTTGTGTTTTGTCCTTTTGACCACTGCGGGGTGTGTCTATCAGTTGTGTTGTTGGTTTATGGTTTGTTCAGGTGTGTAGTGTTGTTTTTTGGGTTGTTTAGAATATCATCTACCGTTCTGGAACAAAATAAAAGGGTCAGCACAACAATGAGTTGAAAGTTGCGGCCAAAATCGAACCATTCAACCAGAGGTAATGATAATTATAAATGTTGGTTTAATTTTGCCCTCTCGAATCTAGTATTGTTTGTTCAAAATATGAAAACTCGTGCTTAATTTCGTGTGTTGTTTTATTAAGTGTATTTTTAGTTTTCATTTTGTAGGTGGCAATGCTGAAGGTTTTACGATTGCATTCAATCACTCTAGTAAATTTGTAAGTATGGGTCAAAGTGTGTATTGTGGTGGTTCCATTGACTTTGTTGAAAATTGTGATGTTGACTTGATTTCACTTGTTTGAATAATGTTGCCAAAACATTCTATAGAAAAAGAGGAATTGATGGGTGTTTTCATTTGTCACAACTTGAGAATGATTTTGATGATGTGAGTTTTGTGCAATGGTTGGATTATGATAAATTTATAAGTTTGTTTGTTAAACATGAGTCCCTCATTTGTAGTGGTGGTCAGTTTGAACTTTCAAATATTGTTGAACTATTGCCATTTGTAGGGATTTTAGAAAGTTCTGAGGAGAGAGTTGTTAGTGTATATATTGAAAGTTTGACATTTAAATAATTTTTGTTCATCACGGATGGACAGAAGATCATATTATTGGTTTCTTGTAAAACATAAATAATTAATTCACAACCTAGATGTAAATGAACAAACCCACGTGAACATTGTAGTGTAATTCGAATTGATTAGTCTAGAGTAATGGATTGTACTAGTACATCACGAATGTATTGAGCAAATTCCAGAGAGGATAAGTTTGATTTATACTAACAAAGTAAACTAAATATACATCGGTTAAATACTGCATACTATAAATCCGTAAGATAAAACAGGCACGTGCATCCAGTAGCTGCTATTTTGGTTCACTAAAAAGTGAGATTCATTCTGTTTGATCAATAGTCTTGGTGATTTGAATAGTATGTTATGTGTATGTTGTGTTGTTCGATTATTTACGGCAATCGTGTGATTTAGTTTAAGGATGTCCCTGAAGTGAGTTCAAGAAGAATTGTTATGTCAATCCCTGCAGGCGGAATGAGTTCTGACATAATAATAAAGAATTGAGTGGTACTAGTGTTGGTTCAAGAAGTCCATTAATTATATTGTCAGTGATCAAATAAATTGACGGGCATCATAATTTTAACATGTGCTACGTGATTTGAACTTATTAACATTTCCACCATATCTATGTTAATAATTATGTCTTTACCTAAATCACTTATTTATTTATATTAATGTCTAAATGAGTTACCTTATCCTTTTAACTTTCATCCCTTTTTATGGGATTGATTAGGAGAGAGAAATGAAAATATGCTTATAATAACTCATTTAATTCCTTAATTTACGCACATTTTTACGTTTTTAATAGAGATATATAAAAACATGTATTGTAATTCACGCAGCTGTCCAGTTGGTATATGTTGCGTTTATGTTAGTATATTTTTAGTATATGATGCAATGAAAAACATGACTTCCATCCAAAATTATGTCTTCTTCTTCTTTTTTTTTTTAAGTTTAACGTTCAGTATATATATAGTTTATTTTAATCATTTTTAATGATATATATGACGGCTCTTTTGAGAATATACCGAAAATATACTGAAAATATACTAACTATAAACCCTGAATAACAATACAAATAAAACGCTCCACCCTGTCGTGTATATTCCATTACAAATACAAAAAAAAAAACATGTATTGTAATTCACGCAGGTGTCTAGGGGTGGGTATATGTTGCGTTTATGTTAGTATATATTAAGTATATGTTTAATATATATACATAAAATATACCACAAAAAAATATTGGTGTGTGTTGTATATATTTCAATGATTATAGTAAATATAAATCATAATCATGGTATATATAGAGAACATATAAAATATAATGTCGGTATATATACTTACAATACAAATTGTAATGATGGTATATGTATTATATATGTTTTCCATGATTTTACTAAATATAAACCATGCATATACCGAAGATATATACATGAATTGGTAGTTTTTTTTATTAATGATATATGTGTTGTTTTCAACAACATTTTCTTATATACCAAACATAAACTATGAATAAACATTGAAAAAAGAAAAAAAAAATATTTATTCACAAACTAATTTGTACATAATAATATCCCGAAATTGTTCGTTATACGTTTTTGGTATATGTAGCGTGTATATGCAATATATGTCCAGTATGTGTACATCGCCGCATCGGTTAAGAAAAAGAGATCATTTTTCAAAGTGTTTAGCTTCCAAACAGATTTCCACGAACAGACTCTCTGCATATTAAATTTTCAGGGCTTTTCATGCTTTTCCCAACATTTGTTCTACATTTGGGGAAGTGACTTGTTGGTCCCATTACTGCCAATTTAGATGTTGGAAGTATGATTCTGGCTTGTTCAATTTACCTCTAATCAGAGTTCCTCACCACTGCACATAAGAAATAGAAGTATTTGAATGGGATGAGAATTCAATCTTACTTTACAATACAATAAAACTGTATGTAAAGTTGATGTATCGTATAAACATTGTACCAAAACTACAACTTGCATTTATCACATTCCTGTACATGAAAACACACTTACACAGATATATAAGAAAGAAGAAAAATAAACCAAGAACAAAGAAAAAGGAATTTAGGGAAACTAATCAATTCACTTCATTCAAGGGCATTCTTATAGCTGATGCGAAAACAAAGAAAACTGAGTGGTTAATCAATTCACATCATTCAAGCTCAAGATCTCTCACCAAATCGAGCCCAAAGTATGGTTAGCCCGTGTGGTTATATTTACATGGAAGGACACATCTATCTATCTTTGTAGAACAAAAAAACCAAATAAGATGAGATCCCAGAAAGATTTTCACACTGCCACAAATGTAAACTTTCAAGAGAGAGTGCCAAAATACAGAATTCCAAGCGATAGACCAATCGATCATCTCTCCCATCACAGATTCAACAAGTTCCCTTGCAGGAATAATTTTGAAGGAATCTGGTGGCGCTTGCGGGCCTTCTCAGTAATCGAGGTAAGCACGCCCCAGATGTCGGGATCGGAATACTGAAACGGCTTGGCGACGATTTCAATTAAGTATTTGATTAGCATTTAATATGCAGAGAAAACAGGAATAACGCTAATTTTGAACAGG